TTTTAAAAATGAGTCCAAATTATGTAATTTTATGCATACTGTAAAATGGGTCCAGATTTCTTATATTTAGCTAAAAACGGGTAAAATTTAAGAAAATGGGTTCAGATATTTCATATTTTTGCGTAAAATGGGTCCACTCTGTTTTAATTTACACGTAAAGTGGGTCCACCCTCATATCGTCCCACACCGTTTGAACTGGCTATGGCATAGATCCTAATCCATCATCGTCACCCTCATCATCATCCTCAGCAATCATCGTCACCCTCATAATCATCACCTTCATCCTACTAATCATCCTCATTCATCGTCATCCTTATCCTCATCATCATCAACCTCATCCTTATCCTACTTATCATCATCACTCATTCATCATAATAGTCCTCATTATCATCATCATTGTCATTATCATCCTCCTCATCATCATCCTCATTACAATCATCATCTATCATCATCAATCTTGTCCTCATTATCATCAACCACATCATCATCATCATCCTTATTAATCATCATTATCAATCATCATCCTTATCATGAGGATGATAATGAATAGGAGGGCGACAAGAATGAAGATGAGAATGAGGGGCAGAGGGGATGTTTCTCTCATCATTCGTCATCATTAACCTCATCACCATCATTCTCATCAATCATCCTCATCAACGACCATTATCATCAATCGTAATCATCATCATCCTTATTTTCATCATCAACAAACTCATCATCCTAATCCTCCTCCTTATTATTATCATTATCCTCACCATCCTTATCAGCATCATTTTCTTCCTCATAATCATCAATCATCATCTACCTCATCATCTTCATTCTCCTCATCAGCCGCATCATCCTCATCCTCCTCATCATCATTCTTATCTTCATCACCATAATCATAATCATCATTATCATCATCCTCATCATCATCCTGATTACTGTCATCATCATCATCATCATCATCATCATCATCATCATCAACATCATCATCATCGTCATCATTACCATCATCATTTTCATCATTATCCCCTTTATCATTAGTCACCATCATCATCGTGAGGATGATGAAGATGAGGACGGCGAGATAAGGACAAGGGTGAGGATGAGAAGGATGATTCTCATCATTCATCATCATCATCATCATCATCATCATCATCATCATCATCATCATCATCATCATCATCATCATTCTCATCAATCATTTTCTATCATTCTCATCACGATCATTATCATCAACAACCATTATCATCAATCATAATCACCATCATCTTCTTCCTTACCATCATCCTCATCATCATCTTTCTTCTCCTCATCATCATCAACATCCTCTTTATAATGGGGATTATAATGAGAATGGGGATGACAATAAGGAAGATGATGAATGACATCAGTATAGTAAGAAATAGTAAGAAACTCTCCCATAAGTCCGGGGATGTTTATTCTGGGACTCTGACCGAGGGTCCAGTCGGCCTTGTGTTTGGACCCACCCTATCAGACCCCATGGGACCAACACTGAACGACTATAATGGCTAAGTATTTAACTAAGGTCCTGTGGTGTTGTGATTATTTACAATATTGGCAGTAGCGCCACCTATTGGCGTTAAGGTTGGAAACTTAGAGAGCAGTTATAATGATGATGAATGAATAAAGGCAGAGAACCATATGATGAGTTCTAGTGTTTGTACTTCATTTGATGTATGCGTAGTTACATGATATACTACCGACAGTACAACATTACATTGGCGACGAGGATCATCACCCTACATGGCAGAAGAGATAAAAGTAAGTCAAATCTCAGAATTTGATGAGTGAAGTCACACCACCGAGAGAGTGCGACCGCAGCCATGTTGAATAGCACAGCCACTTTATGAACATAGCACAGTTCAACGTGCATAGTCATGCTGATCGTCCCCGACGATGGGACAGATGGATAAGGCATTTTGAGATTGGCCTAATAGCAAATAACATAACCGATGATAATAGGAAGAAAGCACTATTATTATTTAATGGAGGCTCAGATCTCCAGGATGAAGTAGATGTTCTATTAAAACAACCTACTTCCAGGCCTAGACCTACAACTGCCCCAGCAGATGGCTCTAGTGCAGCAGTGACGTCACAACCAGGTGCGTCTTCGAGTAGTGCGTCGGGATCGAGTAGTAGTACAAGCAGAGCTACTGCTACGCCGAGTTATGATGTAATAAAGAAACTCTTAAGCTTGCATTTCAATCCCCAAAATAATAAGGATTATGAATCATTGGTTTTTAGAAGGCTTCTGCAAAACAAGGGTGAACTCATGCAAGATTATTATACCAGGTTGCACCAACAGGCAGTTAAATGTGATTTTTCTGACATTGACCGAGAAATAAAAACTCAGATATTAGCTGGATGTGCTTCAGATAAATTTCGGCGAAAGCTGTTAGAAAAAGAAAGAACATTAAATGACATCCTACTGTTAGCACGAGCAAATGAACAAGCAGAATTACAGTCAACAGACATTGCACAAAGTACAAGTAAGGACAGTGTTAATAGACTGTATGATAAACGTAAACAGGTATCACATAGGCCTAACAGTAAAGATATGGTGAAACAATGTACATATTGTGGTAGAAATCATGAAATAAGAAAATGTCCGGCATACGGCAAAGTTTGTAAGAAGTGTCACAAACGTAATCATTTTGCTAACGTATGTAGATCACCTGTAATGAAACAAACAAACAAGTTTACTAGACCTAAGGTTCATACTGTAATACATGACAGTAGTGAAGAATATGATACAAATTCTAGTGAAAATGGTCATAGTGAGTATGTATTTGGTATCCCAGAAAGTAAACTTCCCAGTAGTACAATTAGAGTTGATAATGAGTTTGTCAGATTCATTATAGATACGGGTGCCTCAGTTAACATTATGGCAAGTGAAGTATTTGATAACTTTAAGAAAAAGCCTATGCTTCAGAAAACACATGTTAAAATTTATGGTTTTGGTAGTGACGAACCATTGAAAACTAGAGGTGTGTGTAAGGTAACGTTCCATGCAGAAAATGAGGTAAAATGTGAGGATGATGTTTACATTGTTGATGGCAATGTTGGTAACATAATGGATGGCGGCGGAAAAGCTTAACTTGGTTAAGGTGACTTGTAACAATAATGTAATGAATATTAGAGATACAAATATTCCTACTAATAATGCAACAAATGCTACTGATAATGATGATGATGTACAGTCCATACACTCAGAAATTGTTGACAAGTACCCAATTTTTGACGGGATTGGAAAATTTAAAGGGGTTGAAGTTAAACTACATGTTGATCCAACTGTAAGACCCACACAGCAAAAACACAGAAGGATTCCATTTCACATAAGAAAAGATGTAGATAAGGAGTTAAATAGATTGATGGACTTGGATATAATCGAAAAGGTAGAAGGTCTAACACCCTGGGTAAGCCCAATCGTCGTTGTACCAAAAGGTAATGGGTCTATAAGAATCTGTGTTGATATGAGACAGGTTAATAAGGCGATTCTCAGAGAACGTCACCCAATCCCCATATTAGATGACATAGTAAGTGACCTTAATGGTGCCACTGTGTATAGTAAATTAGATTTACGATCAGGTTACCATCAGTTACCCCTCCACGAGGATTCTAGATTTCTTACTACTTTTACCACTCATTCCGGTCTATATAGATATAAAAGGTTGATATTTGGTGTCAATGCAGCTTCAGAAATTTTCTCAGCTGAAGTAGGAAAACTGTTGTACGGGCTTAAAGGCTGTAAAAATATCTCGGACAACATTGTTATTTTTGGACGAAATGAACAAGAACACGATGAAAATTTGAAAGCGACCTTAGAGCGACTACAGCAGCATGGAGTTACGCTAAACAAAGAAAAATGTGTGTTCAGAACACATGAAGTAAAATTCTATGGTCATATATTCAACATTAAGGGCTTGGCAGTTGATCCCCGGAATGTTGAAGATATTCAAAACGCTCCACGACCAACGAATGCAAGCGAAGTTCGATCTTTTCTCGGACTAACACAATATGTGGCGAGATTTATCACCGATTATGCATCACTGACAACATCGCTGCGTGAATTGACGCGAAAGAATGTCTATTTCAAATGGAGAGACACCCAAGAACAAGCTTTTATTAAACTTAAAGCCGCCCTCATCAGCCCCACAGTGATGACATACTTCGACATTCAGAAAGACTCGCAGGTGTTAGTGGATGCAAGCCCAACAGGATTAGCCGCTATGCTCTGCCAAGATGGCAAAGTTATAGGATACGCTAGCAGATCGTTGACCGGTGTAGAACAGCGATACTCGCAAACAGAGCGGGAAATGTTAGCTGTCGTTTTCGGTGCTGAACATTTTCATTTGTATTTATATGGAGCAAGATTTCAGATAATGACTGACCATAAACCATTACTCAGCATATTCAACCATAACAAGCCAATGAGCACACGAATTGAATGCTAGAGGTTAAGATTAATGCCATATAATTACGAGTTGAAATACCGACCTGGACACGGCAACCCGGCTGACTACTTAAGTCGACACCCAAACAAGACAACACAAGACACTGAAGAACAGCAAACTGTTGCGCATGTTAATTATATTGTACGCAACGCAATCCCAAAGGCGATGAAACTGAGTGATATTGAGGCTGAAAGCAAAGTTGACAGCCAACTACAGAAATTGAAACAGGCAATTGAACAGAATAATCATGCGTTGTGGAACGAAGCTGAACTTCGCGAATTTAAGCAGTGAAAAGATGAGTTGACAGTAACGGACAACATCATACTCAGAGGACATACTATAGTTATACCCAAATCATTACGTAATAAAGTGGTAGAAATCGCACACGCTAGTCATCAAGGCATTGTGAAGACGAAGGCCTTAATTCGAGAAAAGGTCTGGTTTCCAGGGATAGATAAATTAGTCACGGGAAAGGTAAAAGAATTTGTTGCATGTCAGGCATCAAATGCGAAAAATGCAGAACGCATTGAACCCTTTAAGATGTCAAGCATGCCAAAAGCACCCTGGAAGGAAGTTCAAATGGACTTTAAAGGGCCATTACCAAATGGAAAATATCTTTTGGTCGTATACGATTTATATAACCGTTTTCCAGAGGTCGAAATTGTAACATCGACGTCGGCACAAGCAGTATTGCCAAAACTCGATGCTATACTAGCACGACAAGGAATTCCAGAGATCATCCAAACCGATAACGGTCCGCCATTCACAAGCAATGAATTTCGACAATACGCAGAATATCACGGGTTTAAACATAAACGAATAACACCATTGTGGCCACGAGCAAACGCGGAAGTAGAACGATTCATGTCAAATTTAAAGAAAACTCTCTTAACAGCAAGTATCGAACACCGAAACACACAACAAGTGTTGTACGAATACTTACGACAACACAGAGCAACGCCACACACTACAACGCAGATATCCCCAATGGAACTTATGAATGGGCGAAAAATGTCTACTCGCTTACCAGAGATCACTATAGCTAGAAATGACGATGAGATTCGTAAAGTCGATTCAGAAAATAAACAGAAAATGAAAGAATATGAAGATAGAAAACTTAATACTAAGGAAAGTTGTCTAAAAGTAGGAGATAGAGTATTACTTAAGCAAAGGAAAGGAAATGCATTTACTGCACTGTTTGATCCAAAGCCATTTCGTATTATAGAAAGAAACGGTAATTCCATAAGAATTCAGAGAAATGACTTGCAACTTTGGAGAAATGTTAGCCTTGTTAAGAAGGTAGTAGAAGGTATAAAAGAAATGGATGATCCCTTAAGTGACGTAGAGCTGGATAGTATTGTAGAAGGTGATTCTATAACCGAAGAAAGGGGGGAAAAGGAAAAAGGGAAAACTTTGTCAAAGCAAACAATAACGAGAAAGAGTCTTAGAAACAGAAGAATGCCAAAAAGGTATAATGAGTTTATATTGAACTAAGCAAGCAAGTTAAGATTTATAAATCTGGATTGACAAGTTACATTGATAGTGATTTTGTCACAACCAAGAAGTTTTAGTTTTGTGTTTATAAAGAAAACAGTTGTTTAGAGTTTTAACAGGAAAATGTTTAGTGTTATACAAGTTATTGAGTTAAGGTTCTATTCGAGGTTAAGGGGGATGTGGTGTTGTGATTATTTACAATATTGGCAGTAGCGCCACCTATTGGCGTTATGGTTGGAAACTTAGAGGAGAGCTATAATGATGATGAATAAATAAAGGCAGAGAACCATATGATGAGTTCTAGTGTTTGTACTTCATTTGATGTACGCGTAGTTACATGATATACTACCGACAGTACAACATTACAGGTCCTGTCAGTTTTCACGGTTATAGAAAAAAAAAACTAAAAGTGACGAAAAACATAAACATTTTTCCCATACCCCGATCCAAAAAATTGGTATTTTAAAGCAAAATTTCACTATTTTGTTTTTTCGTTGGGTTAATTCTGTAGTAGTTCATTAGAATTCGATCCAACTCGGCCACAAGTCAACTTGGCCACAGTAAATTCGGGCACATGTCAACTCGGCCACAAGTCAACTCGGCCACAAGTCAACCCGGCCACAAAAAAATTGGCTACGGTCAACTTGGCCACAAGTCAACTCGGCCACAAGTCAACTCGGACACAAATCAACTCGGCCACAAGTCAACTCGGCCACAAGTCATTTACTGGTACTACACTTTGAAGGAGTGATTCATCAAGTATAAAATACTAATTCTTTAAGTATTACTATACTTATTGTTATTATTATTGCTGTTATTATTTTGGCATTAACATTATATATTGTTCAAATTTTTGCTGATATTATAATTATTATTACAGTACCATATATATAATAAATATTTTCGATTTATTATTATTATTATTATTATTCTTATTATCATTCTTATTATTATTCATTAGTCTTAGTATTATTATTTTAATAATAGTAATTTAAAAAGTTCTTGTTATTGGTGTTTTATTGGTATTTTTCTCATATTATTATTATTAATATTATTGTCGTTGTTGTTGTCACCTCTATTATCGATATTATTACCCTATTATTACTAAGTAGGCCTATTATAAGTATTATTATTATTATTATTATTACTAATTAGTATTACATAAGAAAGATAACAGTAAGAATGATAAGGAACATAAGAAAGGAAAGGAACGCAATGAATTTGGAATCATAAGAAGGTAAATGGAAAGAAAGATAAGAAATATAAGAAAGTAAAAGGAAAGGAAAGATAAGCTAAGGATGAATAAGGAAAAGGAAAGATAAGGAAACATGAGAAGAGAAAAGAAAGGAAAGATAGACATGGAAACATTAGAAAGGAAAAGAAAAGAAATGATAAGAAATATAAGAATGAAATTTGAAAGACAGATACTAATTATAAGAAAGAAAATGAAAGGAAAGATAAGGAATCTAAGAAAGGAATGTGAAAGATAAGATGAGGAAACATACGAAAGGTAAAGAAAAGTAAAGATCAGGAACATTTGAAGGGAAAGGAAGAAAGACAAGAAGCAAAAGGGAAAGAAAAATGGAAGGATTGGGATGAATAGGAAAGTAACAGGCCTTGAAATGATTCCAATTACCAAAGCATTGTAATAAAAACATTTATTGATAATCATCAAACCAATCATTTGAACTTAATTAATTTTTTTTAAATTTTTCTCTGTTGTTGTTAAGCGCCTCGAGGTTGTGTCAACGTCAGGCGCTATATAAATCCAGAATTATTATTATTATCATTTATTATTATTATTATTATTACTATTATAAAAATAAAAATTATCTTTAATTTATTATTGTTGTATTATTGCTATTATCACCTTCAATATCGTTATTATCACTAATTAGTTATTAAAATTGATATTTAAATATCTTTATTATTACAATACTAATGTTATTAGTATTGTTAAAATAAATATTACTATTAATGTTGTTGTGTTGTTGTTGTTGTTATCGCCTTTATTATCGTCATAATGACTAATTAGTATTATTAAAGTAAATATTACTAATTTATTGTCGTTATTGTTGTTTAATATTATTGTTGAATTAAAATGTTGTGAGTAAACAGAAGACGAACACATTAATAAATAACTCTTTTTAATTCATATGCAATAGCATTCAAATCTCTTTTGGTAGTGTGGTGGTCCTGTTTTACTAAAATATACTCGTACTTTATTTCAATCATATATTGAAGAAAAATGATGCAAAAACTGAGATTTACATTAAAGAACTTGTGGCCGAGTTGACTTGTGGCCGAGTTGACTTGAGGCCGAGTTGATTTGTGGCCGAGTTGACTTGTGGCCGAGTTGGCTGTAGCGGAACTTTTTGTGGCCAAGTTGACTTGTGGCCGAGTTGACCTGCACCCGTTCAGAATCCCCTATCCCCATCCTGGATAGTTAAAATAGGATATTTTAGGTCAACATTTTAAAGTGCCGTTAAAAAAAATTGCCCAAGCCCTAGGCTGAGACATTATAGGGTATGCTGATTCAGAAAAACCAAAAATTAATTTTCCTTTACATTTTCCCGCTAGAGTTCATTTCAGCAGAAAATCGATTCACGAAAGGTTTACAAAACCAAACACTATCGAATTTGTTAATGCAAGTTCTGAGTAATAATACGGCTGTATCGTCCTCCATCCCCAGTGAGGGAGATGAATATTTTGACTACCAGGATGATGATGATATATTATCTGTGGATGCTGCAGCCGGAAGTGAGGAGGATGAGCCTGGCCCTAGGCGGCCTGTCGATCCCAACAGGAGGGCGACAACAGACCTTCTCGGCCAGCAGGGGAACCAAGGCCTCCTGGATTTGCTGCAAGGTTCGCAGCAACACTGGAAATGAGACCGCCCATTAAAGAAAATATTGCAGCTAGTCTGAATTAGTTTGTAAACTCGCCTATGGAAGAAACTTCAACAAGTGAACTCCATTAAGGCATACAACTGCCCAAGTAATGCAGTTAATCTGGTGGTCCCAAAGGTTAATCCTACAATTTGGGATAGCATCTCATCTAAAGCTCGGTCAAGAGACCTTAAGCTACAGGGAATTCAAAAGCCCCTAATTAAAGGGATTATTGCTATGGCAAGATTCACTAAAACCTGGGACAAAAATACAGAGGTGCAAGATTCAATGGTTCTATTGGCTGGCAAACGCAAATTATGAATTACTTTCCCTAAAGAAAGAAATGCTCAAGCTTGAGTTAAATGCCAGACATGAACATTTGTGCAAACCAACCAATAAGCCAAATGAGTATCTTTTTGGTGATCTTTGGAAAACGGTTAAAATGCTAGATAAAAATGAACAAAAAGCAACAGCAGGGCTGTTTAAACAACTACCCAGCCACTCTATGCCAAGATCAAGGTTCAATCCATACCGTCCCTCTCTAGGCCAGGCTAAATGTCCTTTTTTAGGGCAACAACAATACAAAGGACGACGCCCAGACCAATCTTGGGCGACACAACATCAGCCCGGAAAGAGGATTCCGGCAAAGACAAGCCAGAAAACCTACAGAGGAGGTATGTATAGGTACGGGAAACCTTACTAATAATACTACTTCTTCATTACATGTAGTTTCACATGATGCCTTGGGGTGGGGGCGGCTGAGTTTATATGCTGACATTGGTAAGATATACATCTGACTCATACAATACATACTAACTGCCATAAATGGCTATAAAATTGAATTCTCAAAACAAATTCCTATGTTTTTGAGTTGGAAAATTCCTCATCCTTATAAGCTAAGGGATGAGGAAATGGCTGCTATTGACACAGAAATTAGTAAACTTCTAATAAAAGGGGTTATAGAGCCATCTACATTTGAGAGTGGCCAAGTTGTATCAAATACTTTTGCTAGCAAAAAAGGATGGATATAGAATGATCTTAGATCTTTCAAAGTTAAATGAATTTGTTACTTATAAACTCTTTAAGATGGATACATTTGCTAGTGTTATAACCCAAATTTCCACAGGCGACTATATGGCATCAGTAGACTTAAAAGATGCCTACTACACTGTGCCTATAGCTGTTTCGGATAAAAAAATATTTGAAATTCATCTGGAGTGGCAAATTATACAAATATGTAGTACTGCCGAATGGATTAAGCTCTGGGCCCAGACTTTTCACAAAAATATTGAAACCCCCACCTTCATACCTTCGTAGCAAAGGCATTGTACTTGCTTTATTGATGATATCCTCTGCATCAATTCTTCCAAAGATAAAACCAAGGCCACAGCCATGGAAACTTGCCATATATTCTCTACTTTGGGATTATGGTTATACCACAACAGATCATAAATTTCTTAGGGTTTGAAATAAACTCTGTCAATATGGCTGTTGCCCTCCCTCATTTAAAAAAGGATGATATTTTGGAAGGGTGTAATGAATTGCTTACAAGTGGTGGTCATGCAATATTTCTCAAGTATACAAGAAAATCTCCCATTTAACCCCTTCCTTCACCATTGAATGAGATGCATCTGGTGCTGGTTAGTGGGCGGGGAAACAAATGGTACTATCCGTATTGGAGGAAGATGGACTGAACAGGATTTATCCACAAATGCCACTGGGGCAATAAAAATAAATTATCTTGAAATGCAAGCTGCATTTTTAGCGTTAAGCGTTCCATACAAACAGCACTAACATTCATGTTCAACTAAGGCTTGATAATACCACTGCAGTGGCTTATATTCAACACATGGGTGGTACAATTCGGACATTTGTAACAATTTGGCTAAAGAATTAAGGCACTGGTGTATACACCGTGATATTTGGGTTAGTGCTGCATACCTGCAAGGTAAACTAAATACTGTGGCTGATAAAAAGTCTAGAGAATTTCATGATGAAACAGAGTGGATGCTTAATAGGCACACTTTTAAAATAATAATAACACAATTTGGTAAACCAGAAATTGATTTGTTTGCCTCTAGCCTAATGCGCAGCTACTGACTTACGTTTCTTGGAAACCAGATCCTGGGGCCATTAGTGTTGATGCATTTACTATAGATTGGAAGAATTATTTTTTCTATGCCTTCCCACCATTCTGTTTCATCGGACGTTGTTTACAGAAAATAGTCCAGGATAAAGCAAATGGTATACTTGTAGTACCGAAGTGGCCTACCCAGTATTGGTACCCAAAGTTACAAACCATGTTAGTTAGTAAATTTACATCCTCTTAACAATAGGCTTGAACTGCTTGTTTGCAGGTTACCAGGAAAGCTCTGAAGTTAGATGAGTTTCCGCAGGTGACAAAGCAGATAATTTTAAACTCCTGGAGAAAATCATCTAAAGTACAATATTGTGTTTATATAATAAAAGCGTTGGGTAAGATTTACAGGAAATAAACCTCACCAGCCAGAGTTAGTGTTGAAGTTTTTAACAAAAGTTTATGAAAGTACTCACACAGTTACTCATCTGTTAACACTGCACTATGTGCCCTGTCATCCTTTTTAAATTCGAATACAGGCCAGCCTATCGGGACACATCCTCTCATAAGGCGGTTTGTTAGAGGAGTGTTTAACGCAAATCCGCCTAAACCTCGATATTCAGAAATTTGGGATGTCAGGATAGTGTTTGATTACATAAAAGGACACTTTATTGGTAGCAGACCATCCACCGACCTACCGAGCCTTTTATTTTCTGTGCGTCTATTATACGATTATTATGCTTTACAGTACTTTAAATTTTATAGTAAGCGTATTGTTGTCTCATTTGCTCAATTTGTGTAAATTATTTGAATGTTATCTTTTGGGTATGTTATAGATTTTACTACATATACCGGTGCAACTATCCCTACTTCATTTGAACATTAGAAGTATTACTAAACACCAAGATGAAATTGGTATTTCTAGACTACAAGTTTTCTAATATAAGATAATTCACCAAATTTTAGGAACAAACAAATTACTACACAAATTAGATCTTAGAGATAATGATCAATGTACCTTTTGTAAAAAAATCAGTAGAAAATTGAGAACATCTCTTTTATAAATGTCCATATGTAAAAGAGATATGGACTTACATAAGTCAAAATATTGATAGGTTTGTTTCGCCTATCAAATTAAATAAACAAATTGTACTGTTAGGAATAAGTAAACCAAATAGTGAAGCTTTCAACCATATTTTGTTACTTGTAAAACAATTTATTTATGCAAAAAGGTTGTTAAATAAAAAACCGGATTCTCAGGGACTTAAAATGTTTCTGAGATAAAAAACGTCAGTAGAGAAAGGTATAACAGAAAAAAATTAATTAAGTAATGGATTTCTTTTCAGATTAGTGTTTCTGAAAACGCATGGATGCATAAAGGGGAATACCCTTTATTTTTCCTGCCGAGGTGATGATTCGTTGACACATAAAAACAACAACTATCGCCTCTGTCAGTGACATTTAATTGTACGGTGTATAGAGTACGGTGATTACCTTTGTTAATACTTTAAACGGGCGTTTGTTAAAAAAATGCTTCAACTAGGCCAGACATCATGCTTTGGAGGCCTAGGCCTATTCTACCTGCTATGGCTCATTATGTCTGGTACAGGCACACTCGGACAGTACAACCCACCGTGCCACACAAATTGCTCCTGGAAGGTAATTATTATTAATTCTTATGTTATTTTTACTACTTAATATGTCAGCCTAATGATCACAAGTTGATTTATATATTTGGTCAGAAACACTCATCGTTTCCCAGTAACATTTCAAAATTAGGCCTTTATTTAGACGTCCACAAACACAATGTTAATGGTTATCGGTAATGGTTTGCGTGGAGATGTAAGGTAAGGCGTGCATTGAGAACCAACTTAACATTTCACGGAAAGTCGTAGGGGAAGAAATAGGTGCGCAGAATGGCTTGAAGTCAACTCGGCCCATGAACCAACTCTGCCTACCAACTCATGCCATATACTAACTCAGAAAATTTAAGAAGACATGCATTCATTACCGTTGTTTTTAGTGTAATTTCTTAATGTTTAATATATCAAAAGCAATCTAAAAATTACACTAATTATAATAACAAACAAAAACATGCATGCCTTCATTACTGATTTTTTCTGTGTATTTTTTTTGTTGTTTTGTGTAATTTAATGAGTGACATTTTACAGATTCAGTAACATTTTTGAAATATACAATATTAAACCTGGAATAAAATTGGAAGTTTTAAAAACGCAGACTTCTCAAGTCAGTAAAATGCATTTCAGTAAGCAAGCTGGGCCAGATGCAGGATTCGGCAGTAGGTGATGCGTGAGAGTCCACACCACCTGAGGCCCACCATTGTTGGGGCTGAGGTGCGAACATTTTGAGGATATGAACTGCAAGGTGCCTGGAAATTGCACTGCCATATGATAAAATTTATAATGATAAAAATAATATTTCAACAAGTATACATTACAACAATTATTTTCTTAATACAGTTTAGGGGAGGCACCATCTGCATCCCCTCTGCATCTTCCCAGGCAAGTCTTCAAATATCTGTAGTAAATTCAAAATTCTCGTAGCACCTAATAATTTGTATTTAATGTAAAAAAAGGGTTGCTTTTAATTACAGGTACAGAATAAAACAGCTTTGTGAATTTCTAAGAAAGGAGACAGACAGGATGAAAATTTATGGGCCTCTTTTTCTTAATAATTTATGAGTAATCTGACAAGTGTGAGTTGTCTAGTGACAGTATAACCAAAGATCCTAATAAAAATGTCATTTGTTTTGGACTTTAGACCTATTTATTTATGGGTCTAGGCCTATGATAAATTTCCATAGTATTTTTGTCTATTTCCATACATCCGCATTTGGGTAAAATTTCCGTAGCAACCACCAGCAATTACGGAACTTGCATAACACATGAGAAGTCTGCAAAATTGTCCCACAATGATGGAGCATATTCAATGGGAGCAGCCCTCACTGAACAAACAGCTTCTTCGTGTTAATTTATCTTTGTCATTCTAAATTTATTCCATTCTCCCCTTTGTGGCATAAATACTGCACTCTGATTTTACCTTATCTTTATTTATATTTTGCTTTGTAGTACTGTTACGGTTCATTCCACAATTTTTTAGCATGCACAACATTGAAATTTTACTCCCTTATATTAATGATTGCCTGCGTGCAATAGATAACTGACGATGGTAGTAGACTGCCGAAACATGTTTTATTGGGGCCGTTAAGGCCATAACTTATTGGATTAAATACAGGCTTTGCCTATGATGAAGATACGATCTGTTGTGTTGTTTTTGAAAGTTATTAGCTGTCTGCTGTTCGACATCTAGATGTGTATAAGAGACAGTCCAAATAGTGAAGCTTTCAACCATAT